CATCTGTGGATGCATGACAAAGTGCGGTTGGCCTTCCTGACTGCATCCCCACACTGCCGGCCCATGTTCATCTTGGCATCAATGATGACTCCAGGATCCTTTTCTGCCTCTGCACTGACAAGAGGGGAGTTCCCCAACCTGTAGGTATGGTGCCAGTTGTTCCTCCCCACGTGCATCACTTTGCACTTGTCAGCATTGAATCTCATCCTATTCTTATCTGCCCACCCCTGTAACCTTTCTAGGTCCGATTGCAGCCTATTCCTCCCTTCTAGCATGCCCACATCCCCCCACATCTTAGTGTCATCAGCCAATTTGAACAGGGTGCTTTTTACCCCCTCGTCCAAGTCACTGATGAAGATGTTGAACAGTGCGGGCCCGAGGACCGAGCCCTTCGGAACCCCACTGCCCACATCCCTCCAGGTCGAGAATGACCCATCCACCACCACTCTGGGTGCAGCCCTCCAGCCAGTTGGCGACCCATTTGACTGTGTGGGTGTAGTCATTTATTAACTAATAGGTCCCCACCAAGAGTCCCCATCCTATATATATTGGCTTTGTATATGACCTAAAGTGGGTTCAAAAGAACTAATCTAGTGAGATGAATTCAAGACACTGGTTACAAATACAGAAAGAGGCTTTCAAGGATGTTTTAACATGAGTCTGGGGAATAAGGTGGGGTCATATGGTTTGCATATTAGGCCAGCCTGTCTGAGGCTCAATGGAATGGGAGAGAGCATGAGTCCACAGACCTGAAACCACTATTTATTATCTGTGTGTATGGAGGGAAGCGAGGCTCAACAAACAATTTAAAGTTTCCGTGTGGTGCAAGGGGTGGGAACCAACCTGGAAATGCACAGGAACTGGTCCCAGCCCCTCCACCACACAGAAGCTTGTTCATAGTAACCATTAATGTGCAATTTCTTAGAAAATGTCAAGTTGTATTAATGCTTACTATGATCCAAATATAAACATGTGCTAAGCATAACATGTGCCAATACCCTAATAGACTGGTGATTACCAGGTGATGCAACATGCACTGATACAATACACACATGTTCTACTAGTATTCTTGAACAGCCGCATGCTATCAGATGACCTGTGGCAGGGGAGTAAAGGAAAATGCTACTTTTTTTTTTTTTTTTTTTTTTAAAAGGCCAATCCCTGGTTTTCAAATGTGGAAGCAAAATTGCTGTGGGTTACTTGCCCTGCACTGGTATCCAAAGTAAATAATTGCTAGCTTTAAATGACAACCCCCCCACAGGACACACAGGCACTTTCAGGAGGGGGCAAGCATTTTAATTTTATACCTCATTTTAATTAAATCAAGATCCCAAATCTTTAATGAGTCAGGAAAAAGCAAGCATCATTTTCTATGGAGCTTTATGGAGAGACTCATAATATCTCAAATCTAAATCTACCCTTCCAGGAAAGCTTAAACCAAGCCAGTAGTGTCACAGACACATTCTAATCAACAAAAGCATTTGCCACTGGGATGAGGACTTTGCATTTTAATGACGCAGCATGGAAACTGACAAGTCTATTACAATTCAAGCACTTGCCAGATTAAGACTGGGTGTCTAGATGGCTTAGTGAACAGGGTGGAGAAGGAAATGGAACAATTTTCCATTTGACCTAACGATTCTGTTTTTTCTTTCCTTATTGGTTTAAGCTGCATTTCCTGGGCTTGTTGGGGCAAGATGCTAGTCGCACTCAGTGCCCATCTTTGCCCTTCATAAATGTTGTATGGACAACAAGGAGTCTCTGAGGGATAAGAGGTAAAAAGTTCCTGTACTACAATACATATTCCTGAGTTGCACAGAAGTGCTGAAGAGGTCCCTCTGAACAACTGGAGGAAAGTAATGACATTTAAGACTTCTTCATGAACGCAGCTGAGGCTCATTTACTGATTCAGGTCTCACCAGAAATGCTGATGACTCAGATCCCATCTTCCAGCTCCATTTAGAAGAGTTTGGGGTTGGTCAAGGAATTCTCAAGCTAGGCATGTGTCTCATTTTATTACAGTGTATCAGAGCCTGGATGGATGATGTAGAAGAGATCACAAAACATTTTTCTCCGTTGTTGGATGGTACACAGATTCCCAAAAAAATATTTGTGAGCTATGCCTATTTGGGCTGGATGACACCTAACTATAGAAACCAAGAAACAGAGCCCAACCCTGCCCACTTCAAATCTACCATCATTAGATTGGTGTAATAAAGGATACACCTGTATAATAGCTTAATTTTGAAACACCATTTGAAAACTGAAGGTTATTCTGCTATTAATGCTAGTTCTGATGAGATCATGAGATTTAGAGAAACTGGAGAGCTTCCAGAGACCAATGATGAAGCTGATAAAAGGGGCTGGAATGCAAATCATGAGGAAAGGCTGAAGAAACTAGTTACATTTAATTTGGAGAGAAGTTGATTAAGGAGGAACATGATAGCAGCCTTCAATTGCTTGAAAGGCTGCCATAAAGAAAAGGAAGAAACATTTGTTCTCCCTGGTCACAGAGGGCAGGGCACAAAGCAGTAGGTTTAAAACTAGAGCAAAGGAGATTTAATGTCAGGAAAGACTTCCAGTTAGAGCAGTAGGATACGGAACCAGCTATTTAGAAGAGCTGTAGAAGCTCCTTCACTGGAGGTTCCCAAGAGGAGGTTGGGTAGGAATATGTTTGGAATGGTTTAGGAATAGCAGATCTTGCCTGAGTGCAGTTAGTTGGACTAGATTACTTTTTTAGTCTCTTCCAAGACAATGATTTTAGAAGACGCATGCTCTTAAAAGGCATAACAATAGCTAAATCTAGTGTAACATTCTCCATCTTTTGATCTCCAAGTGCTTCACCAAGGAAGCCAGTATCATTCTCGCCATTTTACAGATGGGGACACTGAGGTACAGGAAGGGGAAATAACTGTTCAAGGTTACCCAGCATTCAGTCAGGAATCAAACTCACATTTTCCAAGTCCCAATCTGAGTCTCCTTTTCTATTCACCATAATAATTACTAGGAACAATTTCAGAGAATGTATAGCCTATAAATGTTTAACTTGTGCATGTTTTAAATAAAAACCCACATACCTTTTTATCCAGTTTTCGACCAGACATGCTCAGGGTAATCACTCTGTTATCAGACAGCTCTTGGGCAGCTATCTGAAAGACAAGAGAGATTTTTATTAATGTCTAGAATTACATTCCAGTAAATACAAAACTAAAAGATACAGAATAGAGTATGTGGAGTGTTTAGCAAGTTGTCTCACTATAAATTTTACAAAGCCTAGTCTCAGTGCTTCATTACAAGCTGTTAAGAGTAATATTCCATCTTGGTGCAACTAGTAAATTTTAAAACAGCCTGGAGACAGTCTACTACCTTGCCCAAAACACCAAAAGCACAACATTCACATCTCAGAGACATCTGCAATGTTATCATAGATTTAAGTCATTTAAGGTCCCAAACCTGCAACAGAATCTATGCAGGTCCATGCATTCACCTATACAGAGCCCTGCTGAAGCCAGATCAGAACCAGCTGCAAAAACTGGGGTGCAAGTGTTGTAATTAAGATTCATTGAACCCACAAAGGTCTTTAAAGAAGATCTACATGCTTTCACCTCTACAGTCTTAGGCATATTGGTTCTTTATTGCAGAGGCTGGTTAGATACTACTTTGTACCAGCCTAACACTAATTTCCAAGATTTCTACTTCCTAGCCCACAGAACCATAGTCAGAGGGCTGCGTCTCTCTGTTCTCTCATCTTTCTCGATGGCCTTTTTCACTGAAACATCCACAATGCAAACATTATGGGATGGTTTGGATAGGGATGATACTGCCTCAGGCAAGGGGGTGGTTGGACTAGATGGCTAGTGGAGGTCCATTTCAGCCCTGTTTCTCTGTGACTCTATGAATATAGCCAGTAAGGCTGTGAGAATTTTTGCCGGCTGTTTCGTTTTCACGCTGTTTTGACTCGTTTCAAACTCAAAATAGCAAAATTGAAACTAAACGAAGGGCTTTGAAACAGCCTCAGAATGAAACAAGGACAGTCAAAACATTTTGAATGTTTTTAAATTTATATAGGAAGGGAGATACATTTATATATTTTTATAAAAACAAGATGCCATGAAACATGGTGCAAAGGCAAGCCTTCAGAGAAGGGCAGAAGAGGGGATAGAAGGAGAAGTGTAAGTTCTCCCCCCACCAACCTGAGACAGCCTCTTTGCTACAACTAGGAGGGCTGAGGATTCCACAAGCAACAAGGAGAGAGGAGCAGTGTCAGTACCACTGCTTGTGCCTGAGTCTGCATCTCCTCCAAGAGCCCCAGCCATAGCCCCCCCCCACCACAACAAGCAGCAGCACCAGCATTTCAGTCTCCGCCATGCCTATTTCACTTCCCACACTGAGCCTTCCATTGCCACAAGAGGAGCTGGACCTCAGTGCCCTAGCAAGGGAAATTCTGGGGAAGAAGGGGGAATCAGCTGAGTTTGTGCTCCACACCTCTCAAGTTTCCCTTAGAGCCAAGTCTCCTTCCCCGGAAAGCACTTCAGAGGAGGCTGAGGTAGAGGTTGCGGAGGAAAGGGGGTGACCTGAGTTTGGTTTTTCTGTTGCTGTGCCTCTGCCTGCTGAGGAGGGGGGGAATTGCAGCATCCACACATGCACCCGCACCCTAGAAACAAGCGGGTAGTGTGGTTTGGGATCATTCTGAGGTGGCAGATGATCCCACATACGCTATCTGCCTACACTGCCAAGCCAAAACCAGCTGGGGCAACGGAACAAATCACATGAGCACCACAGTGATGCTGATGCATCTCTGCAGGCATCAGCACCTTGCCCTTGCTCTTCCTCAGCCTGGCACCAGCGGGAGTATGCCCAAAGTGAATTCCCCCTCCCACTCCAAAGCCCCTGTCTCCCCAAAGGAGAGGCAGGCCACCCTGGAAGAGTGGGGGAAAGGCAGACAGAAATGGGGGCGCATTGCAAGGGCGAGCAAAATCACCCAGAGCATGGGGAAATGCTTGCTGTTGATAATCAGCCCTTCCCCTTAGTTGAGCGGCCAGGGTTCAGGTCGCTCATGGCCCCATCATGCCAAGTGCCCGCATGCACCACCTTTAGCAGGACAGTGTTGCCCTCCTTGTTTGAGGTACGCAGGGAGTACTTGAGGGAGGAGCAGCACAAAGCAGATCCACAGATGGCCTTACACTTCACCTTGGACATCTGAAGCAGCCAGGGTGGAGATCATGCCTACCTCTCCCTCACAGGGCACTGAGGCAACCAGTCAGGCCATCAGTGGGCTGTCTTTCAAGCCACACAGCAACAGATCATGCGAGATCATGGGGTCCATGAACCACTTGGTGCAGGGGTGGCTTGTTGGGCAAGGCAAACTCACCCACGAGGTCATGGTCACTGACAATGGGGTCAATATGGTCAAGATGGTCTGTGATGCCAACTTTGTTGGCATCCACTGCGTGGCACACAAGTTCCACCTCATTGTCAGGGATGCCTCAGAGGGGGACAGGGCTGCCAGTGATGGCACAAGCAGCACCAGAAAGCTCATTTCCAAATGTGGAAAGGAAACAGGCTACTTCCACCAGAGCATCAAGGGGGACAAGATGCTGTGGGACAAACAAACAGAGCTGAACATCCCGCAACACAAAATCATGCAGGATGTGGAGACTTGGTGGAACTCTGCGTACCTGATGAATGAGAGGCTGGTGAAGCAACAGAAGGCCATCCATGAGATGACCTTGCTTGGGGTGATTGGGATCAGTGGCCCCCTTAACAGAGCTAAGTGGGATACCATCTCCTATATCTTGGTGGTCCTCAAGCCCACCAAGACAGCACTGACAACGCCCTCCTTAGCCAGGTGATCCCCGTAGTTAGGGAACTTCAGAGTCAAATGGAGAACTTACAGGGGATGACCTTGCTCGAGGAGATAGGGATCAGTGGCCACTTTAACAGAGCTGAGTGGGATACTATCTCCCATATCTTGGTGGTCCTCAAGCCCTTCCTCAAGGCCCCTGAGACCCTCAGTGCTGATAATCCCTGTAGTGAGGGAACTTCAGAGCCAAATGGAGAGCTTCCAGAGAATCAAAGTTCCTGGCTGGGGAAAGCCGCTGTCACCAGACGTGCAGGCACTGGTGAAGCAGCTGAAGGAGGGCATCAGGAAATGGCTTGATCCCTTGTGGTCCAGTACAGTCCATATGCTGGCCACCATGTGTGACCTGAGGATGAAGGGCACCATATGCAGCACCCAAACCCTGGATCAGTGGACGGAGGTGCTGGTGAAGAGAGGGAGACAGAACAGCGGAGGCAAGGGGATTTGGTAGGGTGGGAACCACTGTCCCATGCTAGCACACCATTCACCAGACAGTCTCCTCCTCCACCACAGGTGCTGCCAATGTGGGCCAATGGTATGGCTTCCATGGCGGAGTCCAGAGGCACCAGATCCCACCATCAGGCAGGTAGCACTCAGGCCTCGGTGGCTGCCTATCTCGCTGAGGACATGGAGCCACTGCTATGTGACCCTTTGGTCTACTAAGCAAGCTGCAGCCAGATGTGGCCGGATCTGGCCACGGTTGCCTGGGAACACCTGTCCTGTCCACCAGACAGTGTTCTGAGTGAGAGGGTGTTCAGCATGGCTGGGGATGTAGTGCCACTTCTCCACACCTGCTTGAATCCTGGTTTGGTGGAGCAGCTGGTGTTCCTCAAGGTGAACCTCCCACTGCTGGGGCTCCCCAAGCTCCAGGTGCAGATGGAGTGAATGCCACCCTCCTCACTCCATACACACCTATTTCCTTTTTTCATTTTTTTAAAACCATTTAATACCCCACTCTCAGAGCTGGAGGGGACATTCACTGCATCACCAGCCAGCAGAGGAAGAACATGTTCCTGCTGAAACTTCCATGCCAGGACAAACTTGGAGGAAAGCCAGTTAGTGAAAATGGAAATGGAGGCATCAGGGGGTGATGGACAGGCTGGGGTGGAGGGGTGATAAACCTGCCAGACATCCTACTCCCCATGTACCTCTCCACTTTTACCTGCGCTGCTACATCCCCCTCTCCCCACAACCCCAGCCTGTCCCTCACCCCTTGACACCTGCATTTCCATTTTCACTGACTGGCTTTCCTGCCTGCATTGCATGCCAGCCTCTGGTTTCTTTACTATCCCCTCCATTCAGGAACAGCACACACACAAACTGCAGGTGCTTCCTCAGCCTGATGAAGGGTTTTTCAACCTGAAAATTTGCTAAGATATATTTCTCCAACTATTCAGTTGGTCTGCTAAAAGATACCAGATTAGATTGACCCAAAGAAAAGGACTTTGTCTTCCAGTGTTGTGTCCTTAGACCAACACACCTAGCACCTGACCGAAAGGACACAGGGCCCTGGGCACATCTAAGCCCCAGGGCTGGGCCTGGCAGGGAGCATTCTCTGGCAGCTGCTGGAAAAGAAGCTCCTGCAGGAGAGGAAAGAAAGTTTGGCTGCCTGAGACGCTGCTGGTGCTGCTGCCCTCAATAAGTTAGTATTTTACCTGTTGTCATTTAAAATGGGGGACTGGATGAGGCTGTAGAGGAGGAGGAGACCTCATTGGGGCACACTACTGCATCATGTAGAGGCCCCAGTGTTAGTGAAAGCACACGTTAACACACAAGATGTCACCCATGTCACGAGTTTTGCTTGTCAGCAGCCTGAGGTGCAATTTCCCAGAAACCCCTGCATCTATCTCCTTGAAACCTGGAAGACTTCATGGCCTCAGAAGGGACTACCCACCCCTGCAAGTTTTATTCAAATCAGGCAAGAAATGTCAAAGTTATAGGCAGTTTTGTGCTCCCCCATTACAGCCCATGGGCAAAATGTCAAAACAGTATCAAAACTGTCATACTGAATGTAATAGTTTGAATGCTTGTAATAAATACCCATTGCCAGTTTAGGAAAAAGGCAAGGTTCATCTTCTTATCTAGACTTATTGCTTGTTTTTGCCTACATGCTGAATGTCTTTGTTCTTGAATTTTATCTTTAGAGGCCTTTAACAAAGTTAACCTAAAAACGACCCTTAAGCAAACATTCTGAGAGATCAAAACCTAGGGGCTTTTGAAAGGGGGTTGGGAAGAGAGGTCACCGCAGTGG